TGCCGACGGCAACCGCCCTCTGCTCGACTGAACCCCCACACCAACTTCCGACGTCTCCACAACTGCTGTATTGCACTTCTGGTTTTCTACGATTCCTAGTTCCTGTTGAAGCAAGTCGTTGGATATTCCCACCCCGACGTGGCGCATCCTTGGGGAATAACCGACTCCTATGTCGCGTGATGGTACTGTGGTGTTGGTGCCTACGTCTGTGGTTGTCCGCAAGGCACTATTGTAGCAAACGATATCTGAAAGACTGGTTGTGTCACCGACTGAGACGGATCGGAAGCTCCGAGGGGGCACTGGGGGAGGCACCTTGGGCTTCTTGGCTGTACTGTTCTTTTCAGAAGGTGCTGGCGCATCTTTGGAGGCCTTCTGCTTTTCCTGCTCTGCCTGTTGCTCCTTCCACTGCTGCTCCAACATCTGAAACGATCCAGTGCTCAACGATCTTCGATGCAATCTCTTCGTACCGTCCTTGTCGCCATCCTGCTTCTCCCGTTTGTTGTCGGTGTCTTCAGGTTTGAGATTTTGCTCGCCGTTTTTCGACTTGAGTTGCATCACGAGCAGGCGCTTCTCCTCCTTCAGAACGGAAATCTTGACCTGTAAGACTGGGATTTCCTTCACCTGTTCCTCCAGGACCTTTATTCTCTTCAGGCTGGCGGCGATTTGTTCTCGGATGCCCTGCAGCATGGCGGAGCTGACTGCTGGCGGCTGGGGAGTCGACGCGCCCGACCCACGGGAAGAACTACCCGATGAGAGGAGCGAGGCCGGCGTCTGCACTCCCATGCTGTGCTTCGTGTCCCCAGACATTTCACTGTGTGGAGAAAACTGGCCTGAACTGGACTGCGTGGACAGCTGGGACGACAGAGAACTGGACGAACCGCTGTTGCTCTGAGTGGCCAACGCGGCGGGCATGGTGAACACGCTGTTCGAGTTTGGTGAGGTAAAAGGTATGGGCAGGTCGCCTGGCAAAGATGGTCTCCGAGTTGACGAGTTATAGCCGTACACAGAGCTGGCATTTTCCCGTGGATCTGTAACCGTTTGTTTGGTAGTTGTTGCTGTTGTCGTTGTTGTTTCGGGTATGGAATTGTTCGCTGATGACAAGGAAGTGTTGACAGAGAGGGGAGAAATGGGTGAGGAAGGCACTACGGATGCGTGTTTAGGTAGATTACTTTGCTGTGAGTTCAGATAGAAGCCCCGAGGCAAGGTGTTAGCACGGAAGTCCATGGGAGCGGGCCCTCCAGGTGATTTGGGTTTCCTGGGCCTCACGATTTTGGGGATGTTGCTGCCCTTGGAGATGTCGTCGCAGTACTTGAGGAAGTCCAGGTCGATGTGGTACCCGTATGGACAACACGTGCACTTCCCGTCTGGGGACAGGTCCACTTTGGGGTTGGCCTCGGGGGTGTCAGACTCCATGTCTCCGAAGCCAGACTCAGCATCTGCTGGTTTCTCAACGTCTGGAAATAAGGATAGAAAGGTTACAAACTAGCGTGGGTGAAGTTAGTTGAAATTGGTGTTAATCTTTTTGTCTCACCTTTGTCTGCTTAAGTGACCACTACTCTTCCAGGAGAGAAGTGGTCACTTAAGCAGCAATCAGTATTGTAAAATGGAGAAAAAGTTATTTGGTGAATAGGCAAACACAGTGGAGAAGGCATTGGTCTTTCTGCTATATTTTATGTAAACACCATCTGACAGAACACACCTGGACCTGTGCTCAGGAGTGTTGTCTCGCCTCTGTGACTTATGTATTTAACTCAATTGTTCCAGAGTTTGAACAATCTGCCCTGAATAGCCAGACGTATGTGCTACACAAAATAAGAAGGTTTTGCCAACCATCCACAGGAACTAGCAATGCCCTTTCATTCCCCCGCATAAGTTTTCAGAATCTCTATTAAGTAAGAAGAAACAGAGACTCGTCAACATACCTTTGTCCCTCATGTTAGCATAGTCGACAGCTGAGGTAGCTTTCCTCATGATGGCACGGCGAAATGTACTTCAACACTCGGTCCCTCCTGTCACTGGTAGGTTCATCTTCTGCAAACACACAGAAACACAGCCTTGTCAGATGTTTTCTAACTTGTCCAGAATAATAGAAACAGCAGCTTGCTTGCCTTTGACAGACTTGTATGCAAGGTACTCATTATGTTTTTCTAAAGACATCAGAATGTTTCACACACTGCAGCCAGAGGGCCAACGGAATGAGCAAACGTTACTGAACTGGTTGCGTCCCCCAGTGAGCGACCGTTATCTCGACCAGAAGGACACTAACCGCCTGACCTACATCACAAAGCCTGCATGTCGGCTGACCCGAAATACCACAGCCAAGCAGAACCACCCCTACTTACACGGACGCTCACCGACAACTGTTCCTCCTAATGCTTTTAATCGCAGCTACCAGCAAAATCCTCCCCAACTTCTCATCCCCTACTCCAGTCATAACCAGGGGGCCTTTGTGAAAGGTCAGGGGTGACGCAGGCAGTCCCCAGGCAAAGTTTTACAAGAAACGCCCGAACAGTTCCAGCCTATCCGCATGGCAAACAACAGTCCAAGCAGAGACCGTTCCGATCATTCCTTGCAATGGATGACCGCCATTTTGTGCCAGCCTTCCATGGTTGCCGGGACGACCACCTTTCAAGCCAGCCTCCCTGATTTTCATGGCTTCTATTTATAGAGCGCATGTCAGAAATCGCCAAGGATTTCTGTCCATGGACCATTCTTGTCTCCACATTACCATGCCATCAGGCACTGTTACCGTGGCAATAATGATCACTAGTCCGCTATCACAAGATCTTAATTGTGCCAATTTTGTTGTGTGCAGTTAGCTAGGAAAACTGCGGATGACAGCAGTGTAAACAAATAGCAGATTCATGGAGGGTTTAAACGTAAGCACGGTTAAACCAGTAGTCCATTAATGCAAGGGGTGCTAAATGGTTCGGGTGATGAGGCGCACAAAAACCTTTTGTGCTCCATCTAAGTGTGGATATAATTGTTCTAATTTGCCAGAACTAGCCTGCGTTTTTTTCTCCTTTCCACAGCTATAGGAAATGATGATAATACTTCCCTTTCAAATGTAAATCCCTTAGACTTATCATGAACGTGCTTTGTTATCATTGATAAGACGGTTCTAGCCAGGACCACACAGGGTAAATTGCTACTACACATTTGCATACTCTCCTATCATCCTATTTTGAAAGGAAAACAATACATGCGTAAGCACCAATTAAAGATATTGTTACACAATGAAAGTTTCCTAATTAGTTATAATGGAACACTTTCTTTAAAATAAATAGTAGATATACACACATGAACACAGTGATCTGTGCAACGAGTTACTGAGTTTGTCATGCCTAAGGTCTAGGGATTATCAAGGAGTGAATTTTAGATGCTTTCATCAGATCCACAGTATCCAGACCTGTTGTTTTAGCCAGTTTTCTATGTAAACACTCAGGAAAATGTAGCTACCTGAAACCACTTCAGAGTGTAAAAGAACTCTCCTGGGAAATCGCAACAACTTACCGCTGGTAAACTTTGTGCTCTTTACCCAGGAACAACCATGCAGGCAACCAACGAATTTTCAGTTCATAAAAAGCTCTTTTTGAACATGATGCTTATCTTTACAGTTAACAGTGACAAACAGACGACAGTTTCCTTTCCTTGATTGTTGGCTGCCGACTTGTTTAGCGTATAAACCTCACCACCTTTGTGAGGGTCCGAAACTCAAAGGGTTCATTCACGACAGCCCACCTGACGTTCAAATTACAAGTTTTGGAAAACTCGACACGCTCTATTGCGGTTGTTTGTTTGAACACACCTCTGCATCTTTCTCTCAAATGCCTTCAGGTAGTCTTCAAGCCCTCCGACTTTCACCAGAAACAAGACGACCTTTTAAGTCTGTTTGTTGCAATACTGGCGAGAATTGTTGACACAGATTCCCCCTCCAAGAGAAAGACACAGGCTGATTGAGGTGTGTGAATTGGTGTCGTGTGATCGTAGGAAAATACTTCTTCGGTCAAAGCTTCGCGAGCACTCACTGCGTCATTGTTAGGTTTTTAAGAAGGTGCAGAATAGGGTCACGGGGTGAGATCCTTAAACTGAAAACTACTCCTGGCGGCATTCACAGAACAACAATGCGGCTTCTCAAATAAACATGTACTTTTCTTTCACTCAAGACTAAATGGTTTAAGTTTGTGGCAAGGGAATTGTTAGCAATGGTGGAAGAGTATGCCAAAAAACACATTTAGTCCAATTTCTGAAGATGTGTCAGGACTCAAAATGCTTTTCCCCCATTACCTGCAGTATTGCAGGTTTTAGTTGTAATTTGGAAACACTTTCTACAAATACTAAAGACATTGTTCCTGTTGTAATGCAGCACATGCTTTTTTACACTGTTAATTAGCTTGTAATTTAACCCTGAAGTATTATTACACTGAAATTACAAGTTGTCTATATTTCAACCTGTAATTTGGAATAGTTTCTGTAATTGCAGGTTGCATTTGAGCCCTGTGTGGAGCTAGCAAGAAGGCTACAAGGCTGTCTACATGTAACAGGTCAGTTGGTGAGCAAGTCTAGAATGTTTTTTTAGGTTCAAAGCATTTCAATGTTTGTTGCAGTGGTGCTTGATCCCCATTCGGTATCAAACTGTATAGTTTCCAAGACATACATTTATAAAATTCACAGGTTACATATTGATCCCCACAAATGCAGTTTTTAAAGGTTTTCAAATCAAAGCTTTGCCAGGCCGGCCTGCCCTATATACCTGCTAACTGTGTGTGTATGAACAGCAAAGACTGTTCTAAACATGAAGTTATAACTAAGGAAACAGACTACCGGCTGTGCACAAATATTTATGGACTGTGCGGAAGTTGTCTGTGGTTGGATCATCACAGCAGGTCTTTTGTTGTCGGGTCCCCCTGGTGTTTTAGTGTTGGTTTAACGGCATTCTTCATTCCTGTTACCAGGTTAGCGAGACATTGTGAAAAACTGATCCTGGTACAAATTTGTGATAATGAACTTTCTTTATTATCCCTTGACCAATGTTTATGTCAGATGGGTGTTTTTTTTTTGGGGGGGGGGGAGTAGACACCTTATTTCCTCTAGGGAATTAATCATTTGTCCAGTGAGTCCAAAATATACATTTAAGTTATACATGTATTACAAATATTGCCTGGAAATTTAAAAAAAAAAGCTCATGATATTCAGTGTGTCTTTCAATATTTTTACTTTTGCTTAAAAAATAGTGGAACATACTAGTA